TTAAGCTTTTAAAAACATTAGAGCGTAGAAACGTTTGCCTCATTGTGACTGATTTTTAACCGTTTCATCAAGATTCCCCAACTGCTAATTGGTATGGTCTCGGGTGGGTACATGACAGCCTACAAATATATGGCTCACACCAACAGTCAGAGACTTCATGCACGTCTTGTTCTGGTTATCTTGATCCCTCAACGTATGCAACAAAGGTCCAAACTACCTCAGTCGCTGAAGGTTCACAACCTTACCGACTGACTTGTCTATCGTCCCAAGTACCCTTCGCCTCATTTGAAAATTTACTCATATGGTGATTCCATCAAAACGTGAGCAGTGTTATGAATACACTTGTGTTCAAAATTAGTGACTTCTTCACACCCTGTTGTTTTAGAAATCATGTTTCACAGCTGTATGACAGGACAGAGTGATCTGTCACACAGTATACTCGTTTCTTAACAAGTAGTTATATATCTCGGCGCTGCCAGAGAGGTACTAGTTTGATAAACGCTAAACAGGTGTTTTATGTCCAAGCTGCGATTTCATCAACCAGCTCGCTCCAGCTGGTGCAACTCCTGAAGTAAGTAAAGTGGCGAATCCATTTGATCGTCAAGCTTCATCTTACCGTGGACAGTTGCAGAACCCATGCCAAACACACTTAGATTTCTTCTCAAGTTGTTTGGAAGACGTTTCATTTTTTCTGTGTCAGTCTAACAGGATATTATCGTCTTTTTTTCCGATTCCGGTCATCGTTCCCATATAGATACTACAACCAGTTATTCAACGCTGTCTATCACATATATACCATCGGAGTAATTACTCTAGTTAGAGGTTTGTGTGGAATGACTGCCGTGATTCAGCTTCAGTGGCTTGTCGGTCACATTATCCATTGGTCTTCCTCAGTAGAAGAAACCGGTTCATTACATACAAGTTCAATGCGTAACCTAATTTTAGATAACTCTGATGAATGATGGCACATATTACATAGACGCATACACATAGATAAATACCTACATTGACTACTAAGGTCATATTATCTCACATTTAATACACTGCAAGTTGGTGTGTTCACCCATTGATGAATAAGTGATAAAACATATGGAAAAGCAGGTCGATCCATATTACATATTTGTGCAGTTGTGAGTCGTTTTATACTGCTTGTACAAACAAATAAAAATAACGACAACTTCAACTTTAAAACATTTTAAACTTGCGTTACCATCACTAAAAAAAACCATTTGAGAAAAGAGAGCTAGTGTAGGATAACTTTTTCATCCGCCTTATACGCACTAATACTGAACAACCATCATTCCAAGTGGTAGCCGCCATGTAACCATGATGTCTTGTAGAGAACTTGCTACTATTCTGTTATTAGGTTAGAAACAAATGACTCATATTTTCAAATTCTGAAATAACCATTAAAAGTGATAATTCATCTAACAGCAGTGGACTTTCAGTTAGCCAAAATCTACTTGGTAACTGGTATGATTTTGTTACGGTCCAATTCGTCATATCTTGTATTAGGATATCATGAAACGTAGCGATAAGACAGAAGTCAACGCAACTAAATAATACGACCGAAAGCTGTGAAACAAAAACGAAAAGTAAATATGATTTACTGAATAGGATTAAAATGATGTGAATATGTATCTGTGCAACCGCTACTGGTTTTCAACTTCATCAGTTGCGCTTACCAATCATTTATTTGCATTGTCTTGTAGACTTCGACCATATGCTCTACATTTCTGCGCATGGACAAACCAATAGTCGTAAAGTTAATTGCTTATTATCTTATTTAGTCTGGTCATATTTAGCTTTCTTCCAGCCTGCCCCTACTTCGGCCAACACAAAGCTTTTTTATATCTCTAACACTTTATAATCATATTTCAGAGCTATAAAGTGGGACAGAACAAACTGCTGTGCAGTAACTTGGTGTGTTTAACCACCTTATCATTTCCTATCGTTAAACGAGATATCACCAAAGACCAGTCTGGAAGCGATAATATCTATTTAAGGAATGAGAAATGCATCCTAGACATTCTCAGTTCATCATTCAACCCATGCAACAGGCTTTATATTTTGTCAGTGCCTATGACAAATAAAATATGAATCTTGGGAAAAATGAACTGTAGTTGTTCATACTGCTGATTACAGCTGAGTTTCTTAATGTTGGGAATTCCCGACTTCCATCATTGGTGAATCGAAAAGTTCAAATCTCACAATTTGAATATTATTTATTTTGAAACTTGTGATTCATAAGTCAGTTATTAAACTGAGACTGATTTTTATTTTTGACTAATGCTTACGCCAACCGAATTCTGTCGAAGAATATTTAAGCATGGTAGCGTATCCATGTAACCCTTTATTGCAATGCTGTTCCTTTTCAATAATGAACTGTTATCTTATCACCTTCATTACTATCTCATGATGGACTTAAATATGAACATAATTTTGGCTTTCAGGCAATGTGTTCGGTCCAAGCAACCAAGTGGCTTCATAAGCCATCCTACGACAAGCGTGACTCTTGGCCTATTACAGAAATATTTGTATCGACTTGTGTTTGATTCGTTTCCTAAACTTTTTTTAGGGATAAAAATATATGCTGTGGGTGCATCCCTTTAAAATTAACATATTCACATAGAATCAGATTTAATGAGTGACTTTAAAAGGCCACCATAACAACGACTGAAATAACCAATTAGACTTCTTTATTTTATGAACATCTACCTTTCCAGCCGAAATGAAGAAGTCTGATTGGTCATTTCGACTGTTGCTGGAGTGACCTTTAAAGTCGCCCGATTTAATAGTGCTTGACTTCTAATTAATACACACATAAGCAAGATACAGAGGGGTACGGAGTAATGAGCTGGAAGAAATTGAAAGTTCGAAGAAAAAATAGCTCGGAAATAATGTTTCAAGGTTCACAGGAAGGTGACCAGCATCTTACTGGAATTTCGGTCACCGTCAGCTCAGAGTAAATCTCTATGTAAGCGTTCCCAATACTAAGATAAACCTACTGGATCACAAGAAGAAAAAGAGGCTTATTGCAATGAAGAAAACTTTTCCTCCTTGGTCAACTCATTCTCTTAGCTACATTTTCGTAAACATAATAGAAAGGATAGAATACTACAAAACAATTCGCAGGCGAATGCAGAAGTAAACTACCTAATGAAAGGAAAGTAACGTAACATATGGATATACATATCGAGAAAATATTAGAAAAAGTATAAATAAGTCATAATGAGATTATATAGAGTGATCATTTCTTTATGATTGCCATATCAAAGAAGATACAATGACTGTATGAACTTTTGAATTACCTTTGCTTCATCTAAGCCCTTATAACTAATTCTTACTTCCTTCGGATGGTTTGGTCATACTCTGTGCAAAACTTTGAGAAACTTATTCAAAGAAGCGAAGTGTACAGAGTTTACTAAGTGCTCTGTTAAAGACAGCTGAAGATGCATTCCCCTTCTTTGTTTATCAACGAGGCTGGGTAGTGCTCATAAAATGTTTCACACGCTAGTGTTTTGTACTGCTAATGTATTCGGGATGACTGAAGCATTTCAGGTTCAAGAGATCAAACTTCATGGCACGTTGAAAAAAGCTACGTTCAACTACCTACTTTCCCATGGCCATCGTATAGAAGTGATCATTCTGGAAAATTCCCGCCTGTCATAATTATAACTCATTTTCTAATCATTTGTTTATATATATCTTTCGTTACGCAATGTACTTCGACCTTTACACAAGAATTATTCTTCACTTAAATAAAGGGAGAACGGCAGCCTTAGCAAGATGGTGTGGATTCATTTCATTTTGCTGTTCCTCATCATCTGTTCGGTTCTTTCTACTACTTGCTCACAACTGAGAAACACTGATAACCAGTTCGTCAAAGAGAAATTTTTTTCCGCTGAAATCGTCATCTTTTCCAATTCTCACTGTTCTTGCAACATAAAGCAAAGGATGTTTTTAATCGCATAATAACGGTCCCACTTGTCTTTTCAATCATTTACATCTACACGAAATAAAATCGTTATATTTCCACTGCTCCATGAACTCATTAATAGTTGACCAAGCTGAGTAAAATCTGTAGGCTTATTACATGTAGACTAAGAAAAGAGAATTTACATACCCCTTCTCTAAATAGGTATTAGTGATGTGGATGGATTATTGAAATAGACCCCTCAACGTTTTAGACATATCTAAGATATACATTCTCTTCATCTGTATATGCTTTATTTTCAGTGGTAACGTCTCCCCATAACTGCAGCTTTTGGTAACGCGCTTTCGAATCTCTTAGGGAACATTAGTTTCCTCAAAGTTGCAGTCGTTAATTGTGTGAACTGCTATAACAAATGTAATTTTTATGCTGAGATATTCTTTGAACTTTAGGCAGATATGTATTGCTTTGGATGAATTACAAAACTGTTCAATATACGAGCCCCACACAAATTGGGCTATTAGCTACACATTGTGTATCAGCACTAATGATACTACTTGGTATCCTCTGAAAAAGTGGATGGAATAAGTTAAAACGTGTGACCCAATAACTGATAGGAAAGTACCTACATAACTACACTCATAGCTCTAAATGATCTCTGACACTATAGGCAAAATGGCTAGCAAATGGCCGTTGTTAAAAGTAAGAATCGTCCACAAACTGTTATACTAATCGTCAAGTGGTTACTGAATTGCAGCAGCAAACTATGACAATAAAATGAACGGCAAAAAGATCCTTAATAAAGTATTATCATACCATAGTTGGATACTTATATGATCAAATATCGATGAGGTTGATCACAAGGTGTGATTTCTGAGACATAATTACCATGAATTAAAGAAACATAATAGTGGAAAATGTAAGTAGTGGTAGTAATAATAATAGTTGTGGTATTTGGTGTACTACATTTGATTCAAACCACTAGTTAGTATGTTTTCACCTGTAAAAGCTGACATATATTCTCGAAAACTATTTTATAGTTTCACTTCCTTTCTTTTTTTTCTAGTCTCCGGAGAACTGCAAAACCAAACCTAGAAAATGAATATCACTTGGAAAATTCATTGAAATTGTCAATTTTAGAAGCAAGGGATATACCTGCAAAACGCAGGTAAGGATTTCTTAATTATCAATAAAAATTATCATTATAATTAAAAAGCGATTTCAGAGAACCAAGAATATTCTTCTCGATAACTGTTTCTTCTTCTTCTTCAAGTCTTACAGTTATATGCTTATATTGTGTCAACAATATTGAGATTTCATTACAGAGTTTGTTAATAATGTTATACAATTGCGGAGATTACTTTAGGAAAGTTTTGTGTGAACAGTAATGTCCGAATCGATTGTTAAGTAATAAAAACATAATGATAATAATATATTCACAAAGCTACATGGACTTCACCAGATGGACACAAAAAAAATCAGATAGACTTTATCTCAGTCACAAGAAAGTGAAGACGCAGCCTACTGGACACAAGGTGGGATCAAGAAGGGGTGCAGATGTAGCTTCAGACCATTATCTAGTGCAAGGAACCTTCCAAATCAGTTTGAAAGCCTTCAATGAAGTTGATGATAGACCACAGTTCAGGTTCAACAACCAGAACAGAAACTGAAGGACAAAACTACAAAGGACATCTCCACGTCAGCCATCAAGACAAAATGGGAGATGTCGACCAACATCTCTGAAGAAACCTGTGTGGATGAGCACTGGAAGTCTTTGAAAGCTATGTGGAAAGAAACCTGCATAACCAAGCGTATTAGGAAGGAAGAAGATAAGGAATGGATCTCGATGGACACATGGAAGCTGATAGAGGAGAGGAGGAGGGTGAAGCAGAAGATAAACCAGTACAGTGCAGTGCAAGGATGAACAATGGAAAGAAGAACTGAGTACAATGTATAAAACACTGGACAAAGAAGTTAAGAAGAGTGAGCGCAAAGACAAAGGACACTTCTACGACACACTGGCAAGTGAAGCAGAACAGGCTGCTGGTAGGAGAGATAGAGACCTGACAACATTGTATCAAATAACCAGGTTACTTACTATCTGGGAAGAGATCAATACACATGAAGCCAATAAAAGATGAATAAGGAAATTTAATTACGAAAGAAGAGAAACAAAGGAAACAATGGACTGACCACTTCAAAAAGCTCTTGAATCGAACACCACCTGCATGCAACTCGTCCAGAAATACCACCTGCACCCCAGCCACAGAACTACCAGTGAACACAAATCCTCCAACAAAAGTCGAAGTCCTGAACGTCATAAAGCTACTGAAGTGTGGGAAAGCAGCAGGACCAGATGGAATCCCACCACAAGCACTGAGAGCAGACGCAGAGACAACAGCGGACATGCTCACACCACTATTGCAGAAGGTGTGGAAGGAAGTGAAGGTACCTGCTGATTGATTGGAAGAAGGGTTACCTTGTCAAACTGCCGAAGCAGGGCGACCTAAGTCTTTGCAATAACTGGTGTGGAATCATGCTCCTGTCCACCCAGAGCAAGCAACATATTAAGCCGCATCATTTGGAGAGACTAAAGGATGCACTGGATTCAAAACTACGACCCGAACAGGCTGGCTGGCTGGATTCAGGAAGTACAAATCATGTGCGGACCAAATTGCAACGCTACACTACGCATCATCATAGAGCAAAGTATGGAATGGCAGTCAACTCAACTCTACCTCAACTTCATCGACTTTGAGAAGGCCTTTGACAGCGTCGACAGACAAGTAATTTGGCAGTTGCTTCAACACTACGGAATACCACAAACCTTTATCAGCCTCATTCAACAACTATATGAAGATACCACATGCCAAGTAATTCACAATGGGAAGCTCAGTGATGCCTTTGCAGTGAAGTGAAGTGCAGTGAAGACAGGAGTGAAACAAGGCTGTCTACTATCACCCACGATCTTCCTGATTGTGGTAGACTGGATAATGCAACAAACAGTGAGGAGCTGTGAGAAGAGGGGGATACGCTGGCTGGACCGATGAAAAGACCCTGAAAGAAGATTTGGATTTCCCGATGACTTGTGTCTGATGTTACACAAACTTGAAGGCGAAAACTAACAAGTTGACAGAAGACGTGAGGCAGCGAAGACGGGACTTCAAGTGAATATAGAGAAGACAGATGATGAAGATACCACACCAACAACTCCGACAACAACAACAAACTCGAATCACCATGAACGGGAGAAACTTAAAGGAAGTAGCCTTCTTCACCTATTTGGGCAGCACTGTTTCAACTGCAGGCAACACAGACGAGGACATCAGAGGCAGGATCGGTAAAGCAAGACAGGCTTTCACTAGTGGGTTACGACGAGTTGGGCATCCGAGGGTGACATGGAGGAGATCATGTGAAGAAGAAATGAAAACTTGTGGGCAGTCGTAGCGCCAGATTAAGAGACTGCAGAGAACAGAGTGCAGTAAAGGCGTGCTACTGAACGTCTATTTTCCACTAGGAACTCAAGGGAAAAATAATAATAATAAATACTACTACTAATAATAATATTAACAAGATAAATGATTATCTTAATGATTATGCGGCGTAGGTAAGCGATAGTTTAATAAAACAATGGGAAGGTATTTATGAAAGTTTAATTCAATAAACAAAGAAAGATAGTTTTGGGAGTATTAGCTTGAATAAATGTTACTGATGTTGAGGGAGAAAATAGATTAAGACAATGTGCTAAAACTGTTTCAGATTATATGGATGAAGGGATATCTACAATATGGAATTAGAAAACTAGATAATTATGTGTAGGATGCGAAGGAATTTATGCGTTCTGAATCAGGCCACGGTAGTTGTAACGACAACAGTTACATTTTTTGGAGACATACCTCCGGTTGTTTGATCCTGATTATGACTGTTTCTGCAGTCTTAAGGATTCAGAACTGGGCCCCTTATGGCAAGTTGATGGGGACCCGTTACAGAATGAAAAATGACTCAGTCATATCCACCTTATGGTTTCGTTTCAACCAAGTGTGCCAATATAGAGCTGATAATAGTCTTTACCACACCTTTACTTAACCACGCTGGGATGTGTTCATGATCACGGAAAATTAAATTTCTAGAGCAGCGACTGACGTATCTGACTCCACAAAAACAGTTGAACTGATAAACTTAGCAGGAAGTAACCCGTCTAGGGAATTCATCTTTCAGTCTCAGTGTCACCACTGGGTGTGTAGAGAACATAACTTGTATTTTAACAGCATTAAAAGCTCTCTGATTTAATATTCTGCCAAGCCCATCATCTCTAAATTGTAGCTGAATGTAAAGTGGTTTCTTGTTAGCCGTTGGAATATCTTTTTTTGCCACTTTTGTAATCATATGTTTGTGTATTTATTAGAAAAGCCATTTTCAATAAGTGTGTGTGGTGCTGAGTTATTTCCACGAGAGTAAAGATTGAAAAAATACACATTGTTTGATATTCCAAGGACATTGCATCAAATGTAGATGACGCAGTAACCTGAACGCCGTTAGTTCAAATCCTCCCGCGATTCAGATTTTCATTTCAATCTCAATCATCATCATCCAGTATTAATAAGAATAGAAGTTGGGTTCACAGGCTAAGACATGTGTTCAAACCAACGAGATGAAAATATGCACTAGTGTCAAATATAGTAGTCCAGACATAATGAATTTGAGAACAAGATTATCACCGTTGTATCATAAGCTGTTTTTTTCGTAAATACTCATTTTCTATCTATGTAAAGTAAAATCCCCAGGTATTGTACTCTCTCCTGATGATGATGATGATATCATCATCATCATCATGTAATGTATCTTCTTGTTAGTTTAGTTTTGTAAAGTCATGTTATATTAGCCTTATGACGAGGAGATTATAATCATGATGTGACCGGGTGGAAGTGACTGACATAATAATACGGGAACGAGAACCCTGCTAACGCAGTGAGATACTTGGACTAGGTACGAATAGCGACTGTTCTCCCCAGAACTTGATACTCCACTGAGCTGTGAAAATCAGAAGATAAAAACCGGCCTGTGACTGAAAGGAAGACGACTTTAGTTTACAAGATACATATCGTTTATGTACGGTTTTTCCTCAGAAAATAAAGCCATAGGTTAGAAGTTGGATACTTATTCTGATTGGTCAACTGCAGAGCAAAATTGCCCAATAAGTTATTTCCTGCCCACACAGTAACATGAAACGAGGTTGAAGTCCAGAACTTCTACCCTAGAGGCAGATGACTTAGAATGCTGATTTCGATTTAGGCCTCTTCCTATCAGACCGTGTTTGTGTAATAACGGTCTGTTGTAACCTAGATAACTAAAGATTAAAAGATATCATGAGTGCGACTCAAGTTGGGTCAAAGAGGGACAGTGATATTGCTGTTTTTATTTATACGTTACTAATTTGAGCAAAACTGAGCATTTTACCACTTTTTGGTAACTGTCAGTGGTAATTTGAATATTTTCGCACAATTTCGAATACTGAGATGTTAAGTGATCAAAATAAAATGCAGTTTGAAGGTTTCGGGGTAATTTACTGCTTTCGAAACGGTTTTCATCATCGACTGACATCAGCCAGGTGACTAGTATGAGAATAACTACTCGCCAATGGCTGATAGTCATGTCACATCCTCAGTTGAACGAAGTTGGGAAACGTATATCATTGGGTTTATACTCAGTAGATGAGTGCTAACTTGCACATTTTGAGGTCTAACAGTCCTTGGCTTCGCTTCTCATGGGGTCCTGCATTAGAAAGAAACAGATGTCCAATATTCTCACGTTTTCATTTGTTTTCTAAATGATGTTGGTTTGGGATGAAAATCCAATTTTAAATAGATATTGATCATATTCATAAATGACTCATTAGAATAATTTAGTTTGTCTCTTGGACTGAAAATAAATTCACACCCACATATATTGGTTATCTCTGTGATTCTACCTTTGCACCTACACATGTAGATACATACACATATAATGTCATCCGGTTTCTTTCGCTTCAGTTTGTATTGTAACGTGCTGTGTTGATTGAATTGGTCAACTACAGCCATCAAATGCAATTATTTTAGATGATATTACAGTTTTAAAATGATTATCATTAAGAAGATGGTATAGTAGTAATAGTTGTGGTGGCAGTAGTAGTTTCACTCACCATAAGTGTATCTTTTTGATTTGACGTAAGCCAAAAAGAGTTGATTTTTGTTGTTGTCTTCTCTATAGTAACACACTCATGTGAATATGTGTTTGTGTGTGCAACAGAAAAAGCGATATTCAGTAAATCAACACTTTTCTTACCTTTGTAGATAACTAGATTTCAAATAGTTTCATGTTTTTCCTCACTCCTTTCTAGATAAGAAAATTGTTTTTTTCCAGTGGATAAAAATAAGATACATTTAGACGCAATGAAAAATCATGATTGATGCAACTGAGCTGTTAACGTGTCCATGATGTTAAGACTTACATTTCATTAGACAAAGATTGATATTTACTCGTATATACTTCCATCCAAATGGTAATTCTAAAGCAGAATGGATAGCTTACTTTTAAATTTGCAACTAACCGTCATAAAACGTCGTATAGGAAAAAGTTGGATGTTAAGAGATGCATCAAAAACCTAAAGGATAAAAATGAGCTTCTCCAGGGCAGGGTTTTGTAACCGAAGCAATCTTTGGCCACAGTGAGAAATGAAAGTAAACGAAGCGCTGTAAGATAGTGTGACAATTTTATGGTGGTCTACATTGTCACACTTCGTGCAACCATAGCTCATAGGGGTCAGTGAGGGGAAGAACAATAATATTTTTTAAAACTGTCAATATTAAAACATTATTGAAGAATTAATACAAAGAAACACTGAAAAAAAGGCATAAAAATTTATAAAATGCGAATATAATCAGGAATTTTTAGATGCATATGCACTATAGCAAACTATTCTAAACGACACTAGTGACTTGCCTCGAGATGAGATTTCCTTCAGCTCTAATGAGAAGTAGTGACCAATGAGGTCAATCAAGACAGGCGTGAGGAAAGGTACTCAGTGACGACATTGGATAATGTCCGCACTGTATAGTGAATTGAGAGAAGTAGGGAAATGTAGGCCATTGGATTCCAACCCAGTGGGTGGATGGTAACCTTCTAGGCGCGGAATCTAAATGTCCTAAGTTCGTTCCCTGGAGAGGTACACAGTGTCTGATAGTCCTAAACTCGGACAAAACGGCTATTCACTGCTCACAAGTTTTCAATGATTCTACAACTGGTGTCACTCTTTTTAATGAACACCATGATAATTAAAGTTTTCAGTCCCCAAACTGGATTGTCTTTTGTTGACTGTAACCTAGATACTTTAAAATCATGCTTCTTAACTGATCAGGTACCTCAAAGATCCTTCGAATCTACGTATATACAAAGTGCTCTAAATAAGGTGATGAGTATTTGTGCATTGTACAACTAAATGCCTGTATTTCTCTTTCATTCCATTCTTATTAACTCTGAATGATACTAGGCCACTCTTTACCTCTTCTCTTTCCATAAAGTTTTCTTCTCATGTTAATTGATAAACTCTTCCATCTTTCCGATTCGTTTTTCTTTCCTCAGTTATTACTGTGATATTTCTTTGGATGGAACACTTTATGCACGTACAACTAGTAAGACAGCTGTATCTGGAATATTTTGGGCCGAAGATTTCGATCTAAAGTAAGCTATTTTGAACAGTGTCTGTATATATCTCTGTCATGTCAACAATAATAATAGTAATAATGATAACAATAATAATAATAATGTTGATAATAATACTGTTAGTCACTTTATTCCAAACAATTTCCGTTTGACGTTATACTTTCACTTCATTTTGTTATTAACTATTACTGTTACTAGTTGCAAGCATTTAAAAAATGTCCAAGAGTACATGCTACATTGGAGAACGTATTTAAATGATTAAGACAGATTGAAAGGAAAGAACTATATATATATGTGTTGGTGGAAAATTTGCTGACTCAAGGTTCAGTCAGGCCGACGTATGACAATATTGTGTAAAATAAATTTGCTTATCAACTAGTTTAAACTTCTAACAGATAACACTAAGATGCGTTGGTGTTACAGAAATAAATAAGATTATTGTTCATACTGGATGATAACTGAAGGTGAAATGAAGATTTGGACCGTGAACGAATTCGAACCAGCGAACTTTGTGTTACTAGCCCGTTGCTCTACCAGCTGAGCTGTAAGGTTCGACTGCTGACCAGATTTTTTATTTCACCTCTCAACACCATGGATTTCGCCCGACTATCATGTGAGTTCGTGATGCGTTACTACCGCTTGATCGTACTCACACTGACTGCTTAGTCAGGACTTCTCATTCCAGTTCATATCTAACTGAATTAGAGAGGGGGAGCATCATATTGATGATCATTTGACTATCTGAGATAGCCGTAGTTTGGCGGGTTACTATTTATACTAGGTGATGATTGTTATTTATTACCAATTTGTTACCTGAAAATATCCAGCCCTACTGTGTTGAATACAAAGAATCATGTGATATCATACTGTTACTTGTTCAATATAAAATGTCGTAGATTATCAAAATTTATAAAGTGAACAAATTATTTCAAATTATTAAACTTTATTAGAAAGTGTAAATGAATGAATTCAGAGTATTTCAGAATCAGTTCCTCTGCATAGTCCATTCCATTGTAGCTATCAGCAATGAAAAGATACGAATATTAACTCATCAGTCAAAAATTCTATTCTTATGCAGATTTTCGGACTCACATGTCAGGTCACAAAATCACACAACTTTGATCTCTTATACAAAGGAGGAAGAAAGATATTACTCAGTAACATACGTGTTGATAATAAGCACTTCAAGATGAATTTCTAGAAGTTTTAATGCGAATCGCTGATTTGTTGGGCCAACGAGGTAGTGTGTGAGAATGAATGTTTGCCGATGGTATTATTTATAAGTCGCGCTGTATCGTGAACTGACAGAAGTCATAAAATGTAGGTCATTGGATCCGACCCAGTGACAGTAGCATTGTGCTTACCATGACGAGGTGAAGTCATGGGTGCATTCTGCTGAAGAATCATATACTAAAACGAAACAGATGTTCAGTGCTCCCAGGTTTCCAGTGTTTTTCTAACTAATGTCAGTCCATGATGAATGTCAACCTGAAATTTATGAAATGCCCACAAACCTCTAAACCGAAATATTGTTTAGTGCTGATGGGCAAAATACTTTGAGATGGGATTTGATGAAGCTTCAACAAGAATTCGTGACCCATCTAGCAAGCCAAGTGGGAGGTGAGGAGAACGACAATATTAGATTAAGGTTGTGTTATATCGTGAACTGAAAGAAGTGGGAAAATGTGGGGCATTGGATTCTGACCCAGTGGCTCAATGGTAACGTGCTCGCTGCGAGACATGAGTGTCCTGGGTTTGGTCCGTAACAGCGTCATGGGGCATACTTCTAGGGTGTCTCATACTGAGACGAAGTGGCAGTCTGTGGCTCCCAAGTCAGAGAGCGATGAATACTATCTTGGAATTAATCATTCAATCCCCACAAACCTTCAAATTGAATGAATTGTTTGTGAACAAGTTTTGTCATGTTATACGTAAGTGCTATTTGAAAGATATGCCTCGATATACTTTAAAGCTGAGTACTGAGTAGAAATATTATAAAGGAAAATAAACGTTTGATGAAGGTGCTTCTGCAGAGAATGGAAACCTGTAGAGTTTTCATTAGTTTACAGTATAGGCGTATACAAGCAAACCATCATTTCTTCCATCATTGAACAATAAGGTTTAAAGACAAAGACAAATACAATTCAGAAAGCTTCTTCATAATGAGAAGAACAAAGTTAACAGAATAAAATGAATGTGATCATATCAAAACGATAGATAGCTTAGATATGAAACAATGTGGTTATTAATACAGCAGTAAAACTTGTGCACTATGGTAGAATGTAATCGTAAAAGTGTCTGAGTAATAGGGCCAAAGAAACTTACTAATAAAACAGATCTAAGAAAAGAAACCAGATACACTAAAGACACCTTACTCATCAACGATTACTCTTCCAAATTAATTGATAATTTCCTTAGGAATTGTAAGAAAAATAAACCTAATATTAGTAACACAAGTGCTAACAGCAGTAATAACGATAGTAGTTAATAATAGTAGTATCACTACCATGGAGAGAGAATTCAAAACCTCTAAATCATTACCATACAAAGAAAGCACCTCAGAAACACTACGTTGGATTCCCAATAAGGCTGGGATTAGAGTGGCATTTAAAGCTACAAACTCACTTAGAAATAAGCTCTGTAGGTTAAAAGATCCTACTGACCCAATTAAGCCGAATAAGTTGGTTTACCAAATCCCTTACAACGACTGTGAGGTCAAATACACAGGTTAAAGTAGTCGATCAGGGTCAATTAGGCTACCCAAGCACAAAATGCTACCTAGGTCAAAATTCGTAGATTTTAGTAAGGTAAGGAATTTAGAAAAAAGCTCAGTCATAGCTATGCATGCGACTGCACACAACCACACAACAAGATGGGGCAGGGTAATAATCCTTAAAACTAACGTAGCAGGGTAGAGCGATAGACTGATAACTGAATCTCCGTTTATCAAATGAACACCTTATATATGTAACAAGAATGACTCAGCACCTATTCCGCATATATGGAAAACCATACTTCCCATATGACAAAGGGGGCAAAGAAATCAAGACTATGTAAGAGATGTCTCAAAGTTGTGTATTTATCTTGAAATGACTAAGGACAATAAATATGTACGAAACGTAATCCAGTGAACAATACGGTTCCACTGTGCGATTAATCTAATAAATAAATTGAAATGCAATGATGTGGTCATCTCAATCACCAATAATCTTCCTCATTCTGATGGAATGGGTTATACAACAAACTGTGACCAGCGAAAGAGCGGTATACACTGGCTGGATTGTTGAAAAGACCCCAGAAGAAGATTTGGATTTTGCCAACGATGATGATTTACCTCTAATGTCTTGTCGCATAAACTCGAAGATCTACAGACAAAAACTAACAAGTTGACAAAAGAGGAAGGACAGCCAAGATGCAACCTCCTTCAGGTGAACGTAGAGAAGACACAGGTGATGAAGATACCCAATAACAACAACACCAGTCACCATTAACGGGAAAAATCTAAACGAAGCTGACTCTTTCATCTACCTAAATACCTAAGCAGCATCGTCTCAACTACAAGCAGCGACGGTGGCACAGATGATAATGTCAAAGCCAGGTAGGATCGGAAAGACATCAAGACAGGCCTTCATTAACCTAAAATCAGTTTGAAAATCTACTGCACTTCACTTCACTCCACTCCACTCCGCTGCACTGCACTGCACAGCACTGCACTGCACTCAGCATAAAGCGGGAACAAGATCCGGATTTTGGACACTAACTCAGTCAAGTAAGTCAGTGCTTCCATGTGGTGGTTCACAAACTTAGCACGTTACGGAAAGCATTTCTAACAAACTGCAGACATCATACATCAACAGCTGACGCCTACACTCACTCAATACTGAAGACCAGATCAGACGAGAAGGCCAGAAGGAATAAGCAACAAGGAACTCACTCCGACTGCAACCATCCAATCAACCAACCAACAACCTATCACCCAACAAATATGCAGAAGAAGTAAGTGCAGATGGATTGGATTGGACATAGACTGAGAAGACCGACTGGGGAAATCACGTGTTAGGCCAGGCGAGGAGACGTTGTCGAGTGGAACTCTAATGGGAAACGATGAGTTGGGCGTCTGAGGTGACGGTGACAAGTATGAGATGGTGTGAGGAAGAAATGAGGGCAGTTGTGTAGGCAGGTTAGAAGATTGGAGAGAAGAGAGCGAAATGGAAACATGCCCCTTAATCCTTATGTTCCACTGGGAACTTAAAGGATAAATAATAAAATGAATTATGTGGTCATCTTGATGAATTTCACAATAAGTGAATGATAAAAGAATTATAACTTTTCTGTTTCATTTTACAGAGTTATTAGTCACCAGATGAATTTTCCAAAGAGTATGATTTAATTACTTTTCTGTGGCCTGGTAAGTACTTTTTGACCCATTAGAAGATATTCACTTGCACTTACGTCCTAAGCAGAAACGCATTCATCACTGTTTTCTTATTTCCACTGAATTATACCATTAAGTTTAAAATCGTTCTCAGTATTTCTGATGCTACCTTCCTAATTTGCAAAAATATTGATTCTCGGTGATGAATAAAGGTGAAATGAAAATCTGATCCGTAGTAGGGTTACCTACCCGATGCTCTACCAACTGGGTTTGCATGTTCGAATCCTGCCGTATCTTAAAACTTCATTTCACTTCAATCATCACCAAGCATCAATACACGTTTGCCAAACCATAGCTATCTCAGAAGGTCAAACTGATGACGTTTTTATTTTAGAAGCTTTTAGTACTCCTCTATCAAACCGATGTACGAATTTTGAAAGAGTATTCAATTATATTGTAGCTTGTAAATTGATAAACAATACAGATTATTGTTTCGCTTGATTTTAGCAATCTTCCAAATGTCTCTATGATGACAATTAGTTTATATCGAGATGGTGGATCAGTCAGCAAAGATGGAAGACGAGTAAGAACATCGAAGATAAGCTTAAAGAAATATAGAAAAGTTCAAAATCAACTAATTGGTAAATATATGTTTATATTTGCTTCATTATTTTTTTCTACTATGATAAGAAAGTTTTTAGGGAAACACCTAGTATTCCCTTTAAGGAATTCAGTGGGTTTTTGACTGTTATCTTTGAAGAGTTAAGTTTATTTTTATTAGTGTGATTTTTTTTCTAACACTTAACCTATTCAACCCACAGAAAGTTAGACAACCTTTAAAATATACTTTTGTATTACGGGTTGTTTTGATATTCTAAGCCTACATTAGTTTAAATTTCCCACTGCATATGTGTATTTCAGGTCCAATCTTTTCAGACAAAGTATTCGTTTTTTTGGTGATTCAAGGCTATAAATCAATGTAAAAGTCCCCTTAACTTTTAATATCTGTTTATCGAAAGTGGTTTATGAAAGTGTAAAGCATAAGTGGGGTAATTTGAGTTTAGAGTTTGGCTAAGAGTGTGCGAATTAAGATATGCCTTCAGCTTATGAAGTAACTGGCTATAACTTTCATTCATAAAGGAAAGTGTTACACTCATGACTTTGATCTTTTAAAAACCAGCAGTTTGACCGAAGAATATTCTTTTTCATACATGTTGTCATCAGCTTCTACAATTATAAAATGTATTTGTACAGCGTGAAATCAAGCCACGTTAGGGGCATTTGCATTTTCAAAATGGAATGATGTTTGGGGACTGTAATAAAATCGAATTTTCTTCTCTATAACTGTTAGTTTTGGGATGACGTATATTCAGAGGAATGATGTGATAGTGAACAAAAGGATAATTAATAAAGAAGGCAGGAGTGACGTCTAGTTTACTGAAGGCCAAGGGAGGAGTAATTCTTGGGTATAATCTTTCTGAATGCACCTATCACGTATGGTTAATCATATTGCAACAGCCTGCACTATATTGAGCAGGGGTTGGCGAACTACGTGTGGCATCGTTTTTAGAATACGATAAATGATATTGAAAGCTTTATAAGTATCTATTTGATGTCCTGCATCTACTAGGTACCTTAGGATGCAACGTTTTACCACGTTCACTTCGCCTTTTTCGAACTAGTCTGGTAAATGCTCTGGTATCCGGTGTCACACATGCCTAATCGTACGCCCTATGTGACTAGTCCCACAGAAGCAGTTCAGCTGATATATGCAGGATGAAAAGCGATGATTAGGTAGGCTATAATTCACTCTCGGATTGAACATTGTTTGACTATTGATTGATATACAAAGCCGACCTACATAAAACGTCTTATTAACTGCTCTAACTAGGCTCTGTGATATGATGTCACTTGCAGCTCCTCCCTTGAACTGTAACCGTAAAAACAAAGGCTTCTTCTCCACTGTCATCAGTTCTTGTTTAGGACCAATGTAGTTGACGTTACCTTAAATGAACTTTTCCAGATATCCTTTTTTACTTAGAATATCATAGATACAAAGTAGTTCTTTTTCTACATACTTCTTGGAAGAAGTCGATGTTACTCTATATACCAACCGCTGATTAAATTACGTTTGTACTTCATTGGCACGAAGCTGAGAAAGTGCCTATATTATGCCTTAGACGTTGGTTTTTTATATACATACTTCTCAGTATAAAGCCATCCTTTTTTTGTCATTAGCACATCGAGAAAATGTACCGAATCATTGATTTCATTTCCAAATGTAAAGCGAACTGATGAGTGAGCACTATTAAAATGGTTTAGAATAGAATCAGTATCTATGGACCCATCAAAGACTAAACAAGCATCGTACATGCATTGACACTGCAACTCCATGTTAACCAATCGACCTTTCAAAGGACCATATTCCAATTTGCCAAAAATAAGTTTGCAGATATTGGGCTCAATGGAGATCCCATAGCCACTCCGTCAACTTGTTCGTACTTTGGTAATCGTTGTTGTATTTCTTTGGATCTGTTTCAGTACTGCGACTGTATTCATGCACTGATTTCCTTTAAATGTTAAGAGACCTTATTATTCTATCTTTTACCGTTCATCCAACACTGATTTTCTCCTCATAATGTTAATGGTTAATAAGATTAAATGAGTTAATATAATTCAGCCAGGTACACGTTTCCATCTACTGGTCTATGAGACAAACTTGTTTCGTAAGGACCAACTGGTTGCCCAAGCCAAATTAGGTGCGGCGGGGTTCAAACCTGGGTTTCAAATGTTCGCTCATATGTGACATGATATGATGGATGAAGGTGGGATAAACATCTTTGTAACTTAAAAGTTTCTAAATATTGGACTTATGGGTTACCAACTTAATGTTTTCCCCCCATTCTTGTAAATTTACTTGTTTCCTACTTCTATACCAAGTTGTGTGTTATCACTATCTTGAGATATTCAGCATTCTTGATTCTATCTGTCCGTCTATCTTTTTTAAAAGCCTAACAAACAGGGGAATTCAGACAATAACCAAATTATTTTCTAGATGGTTTCGATGAAAGTAATTAAGACAACAGAATATTTCTCTATGTATGTGTAAACTGCGAAGATTAATTGGTGTGGAAAATCTCTTTTTCAGAAACTCAAGTTTCTGTGGTAGTTGTTTATTGTCGAAGTTTCATTTAAGTCGGTGAATACACGGAACTTTTATGTAGGAAGAATATTCTTTTTGGAAGTTAGTTGGTTGGAGGTAGTTGGTAGGAAGTCCTACTTGACCTAGGTTTCATGCTTTTTAAGACTCATCAGCAAGGTGTATCTGAAACCTCTAGGGAACTGATATCCTGTCTAAGTTTAAAACCCTCACCACCTAGTGTTTCAGCCAGTGACGTTATTACGGAGCCATTGGAGCGACTACTGACCTTCTGTAGGACTGAATTATATACATAAGTTGATTACTAGAGAGGAACCAATCTCATGCTGTCAAGTCCTAAGTGCTGACAGAAACTGGTCATTTTTAAATGTGGTCGATTGCTTCTAGCTAACTGTCATCCGTCAAAGTGCACCAAGGTGATGTGTCTCCTGGCTTAGTGGCCATATTGAAAAAATGATCCGTGGAATTCGGTCTGAAGTCAGGACTAGACGACATGAAGTTGTTTGGTCTCCATTGATCAATCAACGTATATTATTTTATGCTATCCACAGCCATCTCACTTTTAACAGCATAATGTAGAGTACCTGATAAGTTCAAGATAGTATTATTCTAATAAAATTAAACTGGATCCCATGTGAAGAAAAATTTTCATAGTGTACACGTTGATTCAAGGCTTCTTTATCAAAAATTCTATTTCCTGTCAGATTCCAGCTTACCTGATGTCATTGATAGGATAATTTAAAGAATGACATAAATATTGGGGAGGTAAAGGTTCCTTTTATTTCGAAATATAATCTACAGTTTGCTTTCACATCTTTCACTCCCTTTTATTTTCAGGTTATATTACAATACATGTATCTGAAATCTCCAGTCGTACAGATATTCAAGCTTGGTTAACTCTTCAGCCACCATCAGTTGAGAATACTTCAAGTCAAGATAATCTCCACAATCATCTTGGTGCAATAGTTTATTCAAATTCAAATCGTTTCGGAAAGTTGAATTCCGGAAAAGCAATCCATGCTGATTCTTCATCTTTGAATACATTCAATAATTCTTCCGGTAATAATAATAATAACCACCATGGAACTATAGACCAGAGAAATTTCCCACAAATTCGTATACGTGCACGATACCAGTCACTTGGAATATTACCATTATGTAATTATTGGCCATTGAGAACAGTTAGTTGCATATATTTTACTGTACTTCATCCATTCTTCATTAATGAAAACATTTATTTCCCCATACAAAATAAAGACAAATAACGAAGGCAAAAAAAGTAGGATTTAATGAACTGAAAGGGGTACTCTGCAGCTGGATACTCTATATACTTGATAAGATATACCATCAGAAAATACAGGAAAACTGTTATGCAGAGAAAACATAAAGTGAGGCAACAGTTCAAGAATAGTAACAAAGAGATAAAGTTTTTGCAGGTCGGATAGTAAAGAGAGGGGTTTCAGAAGATATTTAGACTGAGCAGGCTCATAATATAAATAACATGCAGCTAAAACTTTGGATATCAGTATTTTATGAACATATATATATGAACGATGTGATACTCCGACGCTACACGATTAACGATAGGACAATGACTTCTAACCACGATACTCAGGTGGCACAAGAATAAGAGGATAACGAGATGAAAGGTATATTAACTTCAACCAAAAAGTGAGATTATAACTGAAAGTTCATCATTTATATCTTTTTTAAAGGGCCTCGACCACAGAAAACAAAATAGTACATTCAAAGTGTAAAATGGACCAAACAGCGGTAAAAATAAGTAATGTTGCACGGAGCGAGAAAGGTGAAAAAATAATGTTTCAATTTGATAGTAAAAAAATATATATTATAAGTTGGTTTGTTAGGGATCTGGCATCCCTAACAAGTAGTCTAAGGCTAAATAATTACATAACTATATATATATATATATATATATATGAGGAAAGATAGAGGCTATCAATCGCTGAAGTAGTAGTCTTCGAACTCCATTGTCCGCATAATTTGTTCTTAAAGCCTAGCTTGTTTTCATTTATTGTTATTTGTCCCTTGGGTTCCTAATGGAACATAAGGATTAAGGGGCATGTTTCCATTTCGCTCTCTTCTCTCCAATCTTCTAACCTGCCTACACAACTGCCCTCATTTCTTCCTCACACCATCTCATACTTGTCACCGTCACCTCAGACGCCCAACTCATCGTTTCCCATTAGAGTTCCACTCGACAACGTCTCCTCGCCTGGCCTAACACGTGATTTCCCCAGTCGGTCTTCTCAGTCTATGTCCAATCCAATCCATCTGCACTTACTTCTTCTGCATATTTGTTGGGTGACAGGTTGTTGGTTGGTTGATTGGATGGTTGCAGTCGGAGTGAGTTCCTTGTTGCTTATTCCTTCTGGCCTTCTCGTCTGATCTGGTCTTCAGTATTGAGTGAGTGTAGGCGTCAGCTGTTGATGTATGATGTCTGCAGTTTGTTAGAAATGCTTTCCGTAACGTGCTAAGTTTGTGAACCACCACATGGAAGCACTGACTTACTTGACTGAGTTAGTGTCCAAAATCCGGATCTTGTTCCCGCTTTATGCTGAGTGCAGTGCAGTGCTGTGCAGTGCAGTGCAGCGGAGTGGAGTGGAGTGAAGTGAAGTGCAGTAGATTTTCAAACTGATTTTAGGTTAATGAAGGCCTGTCTTGATGTCTTTCCGATCCTACCTGGCTTTGACATTATCATCTGTGCCACCGTCGCTGCTTGTAGTTGAGACGATGCTGCTTAGGTATTTAGGTAGATGAAAGAGTCAGCTTCGTTTAGATTTTTCCCGTTAATGGTGACTGGTGTTGTTGTTATTGGGTATCTTCATCACCTGTGTCTTCTCTACGTTCACCTGAAGGAGGTTGCATCTTGGCTGTCCTTCCTCTTTTGTCAACTTGTTAGTTTTTGTCTGTAGATCTTCGAGTTTATGCGACAAGGCATTAGACATAAATCGTCCGGGAGGGTTTTTTCATTAGACACGCTAAACTAGTTACTCATTTTCCTAGCCTGAGCGTATTACATATCACAGCTGTTTTGCGTTATTAATGTCCTATTCTCGCAGTCACACATTAGATGTTATCTGCCAAATATTCTCATTATCTCTGTCTATATACATGTTCCATCTCTTCAATGCGCCTCTTGCAATCATCCTCATTTCAAGTAACTAGGTTATTCAGCCTGAAATAAGTAGAAGTGCTAAGAAATGAATTACATCTTATTCAGCATTATATGGTTGGAGCAAAGAAAAATTGTTGATAACATTCAATAATTGCAAACTTAGCTTGAATCTTACATTCTAACAATTAGTGAAACCTGAAGTGACCGAGTGAATAGTAATAATGACGCAAACAATAATATTGTGATATGACACTTAGGCTGGAAAAGAATAGCAACTAATAAATGTCGTTTCCTCAAAACATACTTCACTGGGCCGCGAAAACCGAGAGACCGACCTATCACTGGAAGGAAGACACTTAATTTGAAAAAATACATCATTTATTTAGTTTTCATGAAACCACTAGATCAAATTGGCTTTTATTTTGATTGGACAACTGTAGGACAGAGCTGTCCAATTAGATTTTCCCTGACCGTACAGTGATATGAAATGAAGGTTGAAATCCAAAACTTTTCTTTTAGTGGCTGATGACTTAAAATGTTGATTTTCATTTAGCCAGCTTCCTATCAAAACGTGAGCTGTATTGCTTTTCATTTGAAGGAAAATAAAATATTTTGTTATTAAAGTCATAAGTTGGAAACCTGAGAAAGCATTTGTCCTGTTATTAATTAGCCGCTTGTAAAAACTCCAGTCTCATTTGAATTCGTATAAGTACCCACATTTACAGTAATGAACGTTTATGTAAGCTATGAAATTATAATCTTTTGTAGGGTATGTTCATGAATAAAAGACTCATAGGAAAGTGACTATTTTCATTAAGAGAATGACCGGTCAACATCTGTTTTTGCTGGAGGACAAAAAGAAACCTATCTTTTAAAATCTAAATGTTAGAAAATAAGGAAAGTAAATACTAGACTGCTTTTGTTGGGGCAATTAGTCTTTTCAGTTTCACACTGCTGATATTGTGAAGCATTGTGTATTCACTGCCTACAGGATGTACAGAGGCAGATCTTCGAAGCACACTGTTCGCTTATCTTGGAATCACTATACGAGCAGTGTAGAGGTCAAATGAAGGGTTCTAGGAAAGGAAGCCAATCTAGTTAGTGAGATTGTGAACTTCCGGCTACTGGGGTGGCTTTGATTTATAGTACGCATGCTCAGTCATCGCGTACCTTGAGGTACGATGGTAAGAGTGATTGAATAAGGTCGGAAGAAGCTTTAGGGTGGTCAGACTAAGAATGACACCATGCATGAAATCTTTGACTGTTGGTCTCAGCTGAGTAAGGAGGTGTAGACTACCTGAGTGGGCTACCGAGACGGTATAAATCAGTGATTTAGGACTCTTAGTGAAATGCCTAAAAATCGGTCACAATAGTTCAAATGTATTCACTCTCTGACATCTAAACCCTGAATGTTTTTAATCACCTTAATTTTCAAATTCCTTCTCTTCCCATATACATTTGCTTACTTTTACATCAATCCTTTTCTATCCACTTCTTCTTTGTATACAACTGTGAGGTGTAGCAACTTGAATCGATCCATTTGTGTGCGAGGTTGTATATTGATTTTGTTTGTGCCTCTCACTGCCTTTAGTAAGCTAAACTCATGAGTAGTTCTGGTGACCATACATTTTTCCTGATTCTAGTCGTAGCTACTAATCTCTTCCAGTTGTTTTAATAAATACTCGCAACTTCTTGATTCTCAGAACAAGTTGATTTCATCACAATTAACCATTCATGTGATCAAACTGTTTATGAATATTACTTGCCTAACTTTCATTTACATAACATTTGAGGTCTTTATGAACTTTAGAATAGCTCTATGCTATTAGATTCAAACAAAAGCTAAAATGTAAAACTAATAGTTCAGGCTCTGATAGTTAGTTATTTATATGTGTCTGTGTATTGCTTAGAAGACAGTAAAGCTTTGGGAAAGTCAAGTTACATCATATCTGAGTGCGTTCGTATAAATTATCTGTTAATGAAATACCCACTTTTGTCCTCATGAATACCATTTACTCCACTTACTGGTGTATAGGCAATCAAATAGCCCCTCTAGTGCCTTGTCGATTTCATGATCTCGTAAATATGATTTTTGAGCTTTTTCGGTTGGTCAGCTGAATCTGAATTAAAGCCTAATCCCTTTTATGATTTTTTTTTCATTAATAACCTGCAAATTCAATGCTTTATAGTATCGAGTAAGTTACCTTACTAGCCTCCTTTTCGATGTAGTCAGTAGAGTTCTATCAGTATCAAAAGCCTTAGTTTCCAATGGTCAAGGAGCCTATTAGTCAATTTTTTATCGATTTGTTCTGTTGAGGCTAGCCAGTATGATTCATTATACCACGGTACTAATCAAAGTGTATCCTGAACTGAGATTTTACAACAACTCTGTTTCCTATGTTTGAGACTGGTTGCTGACAGATAGTTAGCAAACATAACAGTGTGTAAAGTTGAGAAACAAACAAAATAGCTAGTTAGAGTTCTTTCCCTTCTCTGTAATGTGCGAGGCTGAATTCAATTGAGTGGTTGATTGGTTTTTTATCGATGACTCCACCAAGTCACTAAAAGTTGATAAAATTTCAATTAAATGAACATGACGTGTTTTGACACTGATTTATCGGTGGTATATTTGTAAAACGTTTTCAGTATAATATGCGATAACTACACATTGTATATTCTACTCATTTCTTAAATATTGTTGCTAATTTTCAAAGTAAAGCAGTGTTAATGTCTTTACTGTATTTATTCTTTTTCTCAGCTTATATTAAAAAACAGTTTATTACTTACTAATTGGTTGGAATCTTTGCTAGCTGTGAAATTCAAAGAGGAGATTGCCAACTCACTAGTCTATTTGCATGAACATAATAATACACTGATTGACTTTCTTACTAGTTTAGTTGTTCGAGAAGTCTCTAATCTGGGTAAGTAATCATTGACGAAATATTCCTTTTCCTTTAATGTGATATCCTATTATGAAGATGTTAGGTTATCAAAAACGAATACGTAAGTGTATAATATGCTCTTGGTGAAATGATATCAACAAGAAAAATGAGTAAAACTTATTATTTAATGAAATGAAATGTTTATTCATTATTTTAAGATTCGATTAACTTGATTATTGACTAGCATGTCAGTAGGAAAAGCCCTATGTTCCATTAGGAACCCAAGGGACTAATAATAATAATAATAATAGTAATGTCAGTAGGAATAGATTTTCAGCCACTTGTAACTTGTCACTGTTCAAGGTCGTAAAACATTTTAGATAAACAAATATTTATTCTTAGATATTTATTGTGCAAGCGATTTATAAATCATATAATCACAAGTGGCTTTTAGTGAGAAACAGTTCATAATTTGCCCTTAATTTGGATTTCAGCCTTCTTATACTTATCGCCAAGGCACAACTGCAATCTAGGAGAAACTCATGCTTCCTCTAAAAGTTGAACCTGCACCTTTCAGCTAGCAACGTTGTCACGGAGCGATTTAGATTATACTTTGTCTCTTCTAAGGCTGGATTATATATATTGTTCAGTTGCGGAAGAGTTATGCATATCACATTGTCTTGCCTCGTACGCTGACCTAATTCTGACGATTGCTTTCGCGATATACTCCGAAAGCGTTGAGATGACCTAGTGGAATGGTTAGTCTAACACCGATCAAGAGACAACTACTTCGTAAATTTAGTTTTAGGTCTATTGGGATTTTCTTTTTAAAGTTGTATTCATCAAGGCTTGGCATCAGTTTGAGAACCAATGAAAAACAGGAAGTGTTGCGCAGCTGGTTTTTCCAAGTATGACACTTCACCAGTATGCACCCATGACCCCACCAGCAACTGAACTCAGGGTTTTCAGCTTTCACGGTGAACACCTTAACCTTCCAGCCAGGGGTCGGAGTTCGGTGGTTCACAGTTTCCTACTTCTGTCGCTTCGCGATATAGCATGACAATCCACCAAGGTATTCAGATGGCATCTACTTCTCTTCCAACCGGTTAACCTCACTGGTCACAGCGGGATCGTGGTTGGGTGCTGCTGAAGAGTCCCGTGCTAGAAGGAAACAGTTGTCCAGTGCTCCCAGGTTTTCAATGGTTCTTTAAGGGATGTCAGTTCGTGATGAATGCAACTGTTTCGGGCAAAGCCCAAGTCTAAAATTCACAGTACACTAACAGATGAAGGAAATACGGAGACAAGATGATAGTGAGACAATCAAATCAGGGTTTTTTATCCATATATTGCACGATGAAAGATGCTGGAGCCAGGAAGAAAGGAAATGGTTACGTAACGAGCTTATGTATTGGAAAGTTAAAGATGAGTTTAGACCAGTACATGAAAATCATAAGGGGAATATGAAAAAGATTGAAAATTATGAAACAAAGTTAAAGCTCAGTTACTAGAGTAATGTAAAGTTAATCATATTTTCTTTCTGTACAATTTGAATTACTCCTACAGAACGAAATAGACTGACTATTCTCTGCATAGTAGTGATTTTAAAGACATTATCCATCTGAACTGTATCTCCTTAATCCATTAAGTGTCAGGTGATTGCACTTGTGAACTTTTAAGGACACGTTTAGAAAATCTAGTTTTTTTCCTCCTTCCTGTGTACTTGCTCCTGCAAATGCAGGTAACTTTGTAAGTGCAGTTGGAGATAACAGGAGCAGAGTTGATTTAATAAACTATTTTCGCTGTAAAATGATACCAAGGCAGCCTTAGGGAAGGTCTTATTCAATGTTGTTTTAATCATCTTCTCACTTCGCTCTAACATCTTATGAATGCAAGGTGGATGTTTCGATTTTCCTTTCTCCAAGTTCTTCCGCATTTCATGATGAACTTCCTGATCATGAATTCTTCCTCAAGCTTGTCTTCTTAACTTGATACCCTTTCTCAACTAAAAGGTATCTTGATAAGGCTCCACTTGTAACTATTAGGGGGAAAAGTATGATAGTTGAAGTACTGACCGGTTCATACATCTTTTCTGTATGTACTTTACTCCACTGGGCCGTCATTTCCTCTTCATATGGAGAGGTCTAGAAATTTAAGCTGATTATTTTGTTCATAGTCTATAACAAACCTGATGTTGGTTAGCATGAGCTCAACTGAGTTTTTCATGCAACAGGGATGTATGATTCATATTACTATAGACTGTAAAGGTTCCTCTGGTATAGGTGTGGTGGTATTTGGTATTTCTGATCTCTGATTTCAGTCACCTTTGTTCTAGGTAGGACATAAGGATTTCAGAGAAGACTGGGCCTAAAGGTCAACCTATGGCTACTCTATTAGTTTGCCACTAAATTTTGTTGTCAGTTTGAAACTGAACACTTTTTGTGATGAGAAACAGCACATCCTAATTCATTTTCTTACGGAATGAAATTGTTTTACGGGTTTATTGTCTATGTAGCTCCTTGAACTATTAGTGCAGTGTGAATTTTGGACTTGTGTTTTGTTCGGAACTTTTTAGAAATTTTAAATAATTATTTGTTGATTATGACAACATTAGTCATTTTAGGCTGTTTGTAGTTTACTAGAGGCCGTGAAATGAAACATAGAGGTACGTATGATGTGGTGCTGTAGGAATTTGGTGGAACTCCCGTTTACTAAAGCGGAAATGAAGCCTCGTCAGTCTTTAGGGCGTCTATGCAGTTTCTCAGAGTTCACTGTTTGAATTCCGTTGCAACCCATGTTTTCTTTTAATTCCTAGTGTCGTTCTAGTGCATTTTGACCCAATCCCTACAGCTCTAGGAAATAATCATAGGTGTCTGACCTTCCGTTAAATAATGGTGTATTTAAACCTCACTTGGCCTACTCAGATTTCAACATCTGACTGATATCCTTAAACATCTCATACTAAGCATGACTGGTTGCCTACCTCATCAATTATTCTGTGCTTTCTGGAGTATTTATCAACTTTTCACAGCGCTATTTAAGTTATGCGCTAGGGAGGATGAGTTCGAATTCCGCACAAAGGTTTCTGTCATGTCTATTCCTCCTTTATTCATTGTTGGTACATCCCAATATGAAAGGTGACTGTCTTGTACTTTCAGGTGTACAATGGTTCTATAAATGATGTTGGTTTGTGATGAATACTACCTTGGTGTAAAGAATAGAAGTTGGTTTAGTTGCTTTTCACACTTAAATAATTGAGCGAAATTTGAATGCTCAGCTCTTCACTATCCTTAATCGCTTATCTAACGTATATTAAATCGATACTGGATGATGAGTGAGTATCAATAATAGTCTGCCAAACCACGGCTATCTCAGATAGTCAAAGTGGTATATCAAATCACAGAACTAAATTGAAGGAAAAACAATTCGGTATCACAGAACTGGATTAGGCGAATTACATATGGTTACTTTATGCATAATCCATCAACATTTGGTTGCGTATTATGGTACGCATCCTACACCTCTCTCTCTCTCTCTCTCTCTCTCTCTCTCTCTCTCTCTCTCTCTCTCTCTTAGACTACTTCCACACTAAGAGAGGTAGAACATAGTTTAACTGATGTAACTGATTCATCAATATTTCAATTTCTTTTTAATTTCTTCTTTTTAATCACTGAAGAAATGCATATAAGCACTTTTTCTCGAAGTTCATTTATGCACGATAAATAAAGAAAATGTCAGGTACAACAATTCACTAAAATATTGATTCTTTGGATAAAAACGAAAGAAATAAGCATACAGACTTCAGTTTTGTTGGGATTGATTAGTTTCAAGGTAGTGTTCTCTAACCGATATCAGTTGGTGGTGAATAACTACCTGGAAATAGATAGATAGGTAGACAGACAGGTAGACAGTGAAACCAACACACCCGTTAGATATTGTGTAATAGTCTATTGGTTGCTTATGCATCAAGAAACCAATGTGTAATCTGAATGGAAAATAAAAGCAATAATTGTGAATCATTTATTCGAAATATGTCTGCTGTGATGAATTTAAAAGAGATCAGTATTTATAGTCACAAGATCAAAAAATGAACTTATTTATTGTTCTGAAACTGGACTAACATCAAATAAACAAGTAGTGAAATCACAAAGGTACTGGAAAACTACCGTTTTCTTCTACTCTGAGATTTCTTAGCAACCTTCATCCCTGATCTACACAGTAACTTGCTCAAACTATACTCAGGTTTTCCAAATGGCTTGTTGATAATCATGTTAATTGGTTGAACTTTAATTGTCAGTGTTATTTTTAATTTAGGTATATTCATAAAACCTCTCAACTTTAAATCAGATGTTCAGTGAGAAAATTGCTAACAAATTGTTTGGCTTATGTTGACATTTCTCATAGATGACTAGTTTTCAGTTGCTTAACCGTAGTGCTAAGAAATTCCCCAACCCAGACCTCGATATTGATTGGTTTTTATTGAATCTCCTTATAAGCTGGATTCCAAATAGGTGAAACGACCGTCTGGGGGTTTAGATCACTCTGAATTGGGAGTGAAGTTTACATATCAGATTCAATGCTTTCTGACTACTCATTTTTTTGGATACTATATTAGACTACAACTCCCCTTTTATTGTCATCAGTGGACATCGATGCTTAAATCAAATTAGTTTCCTCGACATATTTCCACTGTCACTGATGACAGGTCAATTCCTAGCAAATAAAAGAGTTTGGGATTATTGATTTATCTTAGAGTAACTTTGGTAACGAAACATCATTAACTGAGAAAACCACTAAAAGCTTGAATTTTAGAAAGGCCGTGACTTTTGAAATTAGTGAATTGTGAAGTACAGACATTTGTCCATCGACAGGATTTGGATGATATTTGTGACGTATTGCTAGTTGAATGAAGTTGCATAAGTATATACCATTAGATATAAGCTCATCATTTGAATGGTAACATAATAATCATGAGAATTGAAGCTGTTGTTCGTTTTGTGTTGTTTATATGCTGCTTTTAGTATGCAGTTATGGCTTGTTCT